TCGTGCGGTTTTCATTATATCTGTTAAACTAAAAATGATTCTGTAAAAAGCATTTAAAGTAATATATAATACCATTAATTACTTAATTTTAGGGTAAATTTACGTAATTAATATTTGATGGAATATATATTATTTATAAGTACAAAAGTTTGATTTCTGGGAAACTATAAGATTGAGTTGGCTCCTAATTTGATAACACAAGAAAATAAAGTGGTTTACTTCTATGCGCCTAATCTAACCTAAACATTAAAATAATTTTATTTAACTAAACATAACATACGCTCCTATACTTTATAATCTCCAATAAATAAATGTAAATATCTCTTAAGCAATCGGGACCCGCTTAAGCAATCGACTAGTCGTCTTTAAGTATCTATTACCAGATAATGGACGCTCCAAATTGCCATTGACATTATAAACAAATAAACTTGGATAAGAACTAGATCAAGTTATAGAAAAATTTAGTTTTAAAATATCCATTAAAAGTAATGCAAATTATATAAAAATAGACTATTGAGTAAACTTGAACCTTGTCACTAAATTTGGAAATACACCATTGTTTACATTTGTAACACGTGTTCACGTTTGTCTATCAGTGTCTGCCATTGTTTGCCGTTTTTCTCTAAATTTAATTAACAATTTAATTAGTAAACAAAGACAGAGAACTGAAGTTAAAAAAATTTATTAAACTAAAAGTCCAAAGGTATGGAACCGCGCGGATAATATTATGTCAAGGCTTTACATAGGTATTAGTGGTACGACCAAAACATTTAAACATATTCCGACTTGTGGATCAGTCTACCGGTATTACCAGTGAAATCGTGTTTTGTCATAGTCCGTAACTATCTAGCTAAAATCAGTGACATCTACATGACAAAGAAATTAGTAAAGCGTCATCAGATACAAACTTGAATAATTATAAAATTTTATAATAGTCGTCAAATGTCTGCTACTCACAGCCATAGTAAAAACTGTCGGGGTTAGTTTAGTTTATATTAGCCACGATAATGTGTGCTTATGACAAATCATTGTTTAATCGAGCTCGCTTACAGCCATAGTAAAAACTGTCGGGGTTAGCTTAGTTGTCATTGAAAACATTAATGTATACTTATGTCCAATCATTGTCCAACAGAGCTCGCTTACAGCCATAGTAAAAACTGTCGGGGTTAGCTTAGTTGTCATTGAAAACATTAATGTAT